CAGGGTCCAGACACCATCTCAGCTGGCCCAGGGGCCCTCCCCAGGGTTACTAGGGGTTGTGGCATGCAGTTGGGTGACAGGGACCAGTTCCCTCTCCCACCCTGTCCTGGGCACTGCTGTCCCTGGGACCCCCAACTGGTAGCTGCGCCCTCCATCCCACCGGCGGGGCCATAAGTACTTTTCTGCGGCAGGTGAATGACACCAGTTTCCAGAACCTGACCCGTGAGGAGGCCGTGGAGTATCTCATGAGGCTGCCGCCGGGTGAGGACATCACGCTGTGGACCCAGAGGAAGCAGGACAGTGAGTGATGACCGGACTCATCCTAGGCTTGTGCTTCTCCATCCTCTGACTCTTCTGAGCAAGCATTGGAGCTGCTGGACTTGCCACAGCCCTTTATGACCCTGCAGGGTGGTCCTTCTTCCCTGCACCCCTCTCCTCTTCCTCCAAAGAGGTGATGGGAGGGGACCAGACCATCCCGGCCCCATTTGTGCCTTGGCATCCTGCTGCACAGGGGCTATATGGTACCGTGGCTCAGCCTGGAGAGGCCAGAGTGTGCTGGGGGTTCAGGTCCTGCTGTCCCCAGAGTGCCTGAGAGTGCCATGGGAGGAAAAGGTGTTCCAAATACACCTCTTAGCAGCAAGGGCTACTGTGGAGGCTCCTGGCCAGCCCAGCTCCTTCCCAAATCCCTCCAGCACCTTCCTTTCCAGCATGTTCCTCCAAAGCCACTTCCCCTCATGGTCCCTCTCACCTTGAGTCTAGTTTACAGGAAGGTGATCTTGACCAATGTGGGTGACTCATTCTACATCCGGACGCACTTTGACTTTGAGAAGGACACACCGTCGGGGCTCAGCTTTGTCCGTGGGGATGTCTTCCACGTGCTGGACACCATGTACCGGGGAAGGCTGGGGAGCTGGCTGGCTGTGCGCATGGGCAGGGACCTGCAAGAGCAGGACAAGGGCATCATCCCCAACCGGAGCAGGTAGCAGGAGCCAGGAACAGCCCCAAGATGAGCAGAGCCAGGGGATGTCTCCCCAGTGAGACAGGGACATGGGTGGTGGGCCCAGTAAGAGGCAGGGCAAGGGTGCAGTGGTGGGAAGCGTGAGACTGTGAAACACCTTCTCAGGGGTGATGGGATTGATGGTTTGGTTGTCCAAGATCCCAGAGGGAAGAGGCTACCACAGCCTCATCCAATCATGCCACTGAGCGGGGATGCCAGTTTCTCCTGCCCTGCTCCTCAGAGCCCGGAGAGACAAAGCAGGGCGTAAATCTGGAGGCTCCAGATCCTGAGCACTTTCCCCTCCCAGGGCCGAGCAGATTGCCAGCCTGGAGCTGGTGCTGAAAGCCACATCAAGTGCCAACCCCTCTGGGGCACGAGCTGAGTTTTGGAAGCTGCGGGGCCTGCGGGGAGCCAAGAAGATGCTGCGGAAGAGCCGGGAGGACCTGTCCGCCCTCACAAAGCAGGGCCGCTACCCACCGTACGAGAGGGTGGTCCTGAAGGAAGGTGGGCACCAGGGCTGTGTCCCCATTGCCCAGACCCACCCAGGGAACATCAGCCCCAGGGCTGCATCACTGTGGGTGCTAGTGGGCTCCGCTCTCCTGGGAGAAGCGGGGTGAGTCCCACAGGCACCTTGAGGAGTGGGGCTGGGTGCCCGGGTGCTGCGAGCTCTGCCCTCACTGCCAGCCTCCCTGAGCCAGTCTGTCTTCTCCCCACAGCCAGCTTCAAGCGGCCGGTGGTGATTCTGGGCCCCATCGCAGATATTGCCATGCAGAAGCTGAGCACGGAGTTGCCTGAGCTGTTTGAGATTGCCCGTAAGTGCCCTCCACGCTGGGGGGAAATTTTATCCAGCAGCCGGACCCTCAGTGTCTGCAACCTGTGGGAGCTCTTTACTGTGGCTCTGTCCCAATCCTGCCTCGCTGCCCCCTCCTCATGACACCCCAACACCTTCCTGGGCGCATTCACCCTCTCCCCATGCATCATGATACCAGCCAGGCCCCAGACATGCCCCTGCCTTGAGGGACACAGCCCCAGGGCTGGCACAGCCAGACCCTGCCTGGGGCATCCGGAGATGCTCCATCTCCCCCAGCCCCTCTCACACCACATCTCCGTCTCCGGCAGCGAGTGTGCCCCGAGACGGGGCATCGTCCAAGGTCATCAAGTTGGACTCAGTGCGGCAGATCGCAGAAAAGGTGAGAGACCTTTCTGGTGTCCTTGGAGCCAGGTGGGCAGGGCCTGGGCGGAAGCCCATGGCCTCTGTCCCTGTCCTCAGCGGGGCTGATGGCTGTGCCCTGCCCCAGGACAAGCATGCCCTGTTGGACATCACACCCTCGGCTGTGGAGCGCCTCAACTACGTGCAGTACTACCCGGTGGTGGTGTTTTGCGAGCCCGAGAGCCGTCAGGGCATCAAGGCCATGCGCCAGTGGCTGGCACCCGACTCCAGGAAGAGCTCCCGGCGCCTCTACACCCAGGCCAGCAAGATGAAGAAGTACTGCAGCCACCTTTTCACTGCCACCGTTAGCCTCAGCGGCAGTGGCAATGCCTGGTACGAGGCGATCAAGGACATCATCAGGACGCAGCAGAACCAGCCCGTTTGGACGGCTGCAGAGCCGGTACGGGGCATGGGGTCCCTGCAGCAAGGCTCAGTCTGCTGGGGCTGCAGCCAGGCAGGTGATGGGGCCATGCACCCATGCCCCCACACCTGGGGTCCCACCTTGCTGTCATCCCCACCCTGCAGGCAGATATGGCACTGGAGGACACTCTGGACCTGCGGACCCCGCCCAGCGTGCCAACCTCGGGCTACCTGACCTGCGACAGTCACGCCAACAGCGACTATGACGACACAGATGGCGAGGTGGAGGATGCCTATGACCAGCCTGGGCTGGCCCGCTCCTCTGAGCCAGCACAGATGTCCCCAGGCCACAGCCTGAGCAAGCCAGTGGGTCCCCCCATACTGGTACGAGGGGCTGAGGGGGCAGAGGGGGGTGGCACAGTGCCCGGCTACAGGGGCCAATTCCTATCCCCTGCGGCACAGGCAGGGCGTCGCACCTAGCTGCCGCAGGGTCCGGCTGGGCATCCATGCCCCGCGCTGGGTA